AGGTCGTGGTCCTGGGGTCCTGGGATCGAGTCCCACATCAGGCTCCTGGCTCAGCGGGGAGTCTGCTTCTCCCTCTCCCTCTGCCTCTCCCCCTGCTCATTCTCTCTCTCTCTATCTCTGTGTCTCAAATGAATAAATAAAATCTTTAAAAAAAGTCAGGTGCTTAAACAACTGAGCCACTCAGGTGCCCCTTCTTTTTCTGGTTTCTTAAGGTGGAAGGCTAGATGTGGATTTGAGATCAAGACTTTTTTTCATATAGGCATTTATAGCCATAAATTTCCCTCTCGATACCACGTTAGCTGCAGCACATAAGTTCTGACAGTTTCATTTATCTCAAAAGTATTTTCTAATTTCCTGTGATTCCTTAATCCATTAGTTACTTAGGAATATTTTATTCAATTTCCCAGATTTCCTTCTGTTATTGATTTCTAATTTCATTCCATTTTGATCAGAGGATATACTTAACATTTCATTCCTTTTTGAATGTATTAAGATTTATTTTATGTCCTAGCATATGGTCCTAACATATGGCCTCTCTGTTCTGTGTACGCATGAGAAGGATTTGTATTCATTCTGCAGCCATTAAGTGGAGTATACTCTGGGTGTCTTGTCAGGTCTGGTGGTTTACAGTGTTGTTCAGTTCTTCTCTTTCCTTGTGATCTTCTGCCTCATTATTCATACATAAATGAAAGTGAGGTATTACAGTTACCAACTATTACTGTTGCATTTTCTATTTCTCCCTTCAATTATCTGTTTTTGCTTTGTGTATTATGATTGTTTGTCTTCCTGATGTTACATTTTTATTTAACAGAACTTGAAACTAACCTTTTTCTCTTAGCCCCATCTTTACCCTCTGCTTGCAGAGAGAACTGGTGCCTAAAAATCTTGAGCCTTTCCAGGCTACTTGGTACATGTTCATGGATTTCTTTCACCCTCTCCACTGCCAGCCTAGCATAGCAGCCTTACTGAATCTGCTAAGTGAATGATTATAGTCTTTCTTCTGCTTTCCCACTTTCAAAATGTTATTGCTGTTGTTACTTTTCCTGTTGCCTTTGTCCTTATGAATTTATGACTTACAAAGAAAAATTTTTGCTGTTATTTTTATGATTTTTCTGGAAGGAGTTAAAGTTGTGTTTTAATCCATCATTTTTAATTGAAAGTCTCAAAGACTGTTATCTTTTCACATGTACTGGGTAGAGTGGGTACTCTCCTAAAGACATAGCATGCTTGGTTTTGACTGTAGACTTTAAAAACCAGTTCGCAAAATTTACAAAATTCCATGCTAAATGCTGTGGAAGAGACAAAAGTATGTAAGATACAGCCCTATTCTCTGGGGGTTCACTCCGTAGGGAGATATTCTATATAGAAATAACTATTGTAGCACAAGTAAAAAGGGATAAGTAATAAGAACTGCCCTTCATTGAACACCTACAAATTTCAGACAGAGGTTTTATGTATATTAAACTAATAATCTCATAGTAGGAATTGTATTATTCCCACTTTACAGATGAAGAATGAATTGGTTTCCAGCTAATAACATATCGAGGGAAGAGATTTTAAGCCACATTTGTGCCTAAATCTGAAGCTTTCCTCTTTCTACCATGCCAGGGTGCCTTAGGGCAGACACCATGAGGGGCCTAGAGGAATTCAAAGGCCGGAGAGATTTATTTCTGGTTTGGGGATCAGGGAAGGGCTTCAGTGTAGAGGAGGTATCCCAGTTGGGCCTTGAAGGAGAAATAAAATTTGACATTTTAGATTTGGGGAGGAATGAGGAGTAGTTTGCTCAAAAACAAAGAAAGGCTTCCTTTCCATTTTGTTGTCAACTTAGAACTACTCTTAAAAATATAAAGTCTTGGGGCTCCTGGCTGACTCAGTCGAAATATACAACTCTTGATCTCGGGGTTGTGAGTTTGAGCCCCACATTGGATATAGAGATCACTTAAATAAATAAACTTTTAGAAAAATAAAATTTAAGCAAGCAAATGTGTATATTGCTTCTAATATTTTGAAATGGAAACAAATAAGGTTTGGTTTGGTTTTTATTTTTTTTTTTTTTTACAAATAAGGTTTTGAAACATGAATCATCTCATCTTCACCAATAAGAAAAAACAACCATAGCGATATCCTCTTTTTTATCAAATTTGCAAAAATTAAAAAGAATGGCCATTTGTATTAATAAGGTTGTGGAGAAACAAGTAGTATAAATAAAGAAGGCAGCTCCATATTTCCTGATAAGGAATGATCTCTAATACTTTAAGGGGAGAAGCAAAGTGTAGAACATAAGTATGTCTAGCAGACCACAATTTGTGTTTGTTTTTTAAAGATTTTATTTATTTATTTGACAGAGCACAAGTATGCAGAGGGGCAGGCAGAGGGAGAGGGAGAAGCAGGTTCTCCACCGAGCAGGGAGCCCAACGCGGGGCTCGATCCCAGGACCCTGGGATCATGACCTGAGCCGAAGTCAGCCACTTAACCGACTGAGCCACCCAGGCACCCCAACAATTTGTGTTTTTTATTTTTTATTTTTATTTTTTCTAAGATTTTATTTATTTGAGGTAGAGAGAGAGTGAGAGAGAGATCCTGAGCAGGGGGGCAGAGGGAGAGGAAGAAGCAGACTCCCCACTTAGCAGGGAGCCCGATGTGGGGCTCGATTCCAGGACCCTGGGATCATGACCTGAGCTGAAAGGCAGACGCTTAACCGGCTGAACCACCCAGGCGCCCCAATTTGTGTTTCAAAAAAAAAAAAAGTGGGGAGTGGGAAGGCAATTTATACATAACAGCTTTACCTAAGAAGTTCCATTAGCACTTAAGCTAGTTTTACCCCTTTTGCACCATTATCATTTCTTCCCTCTTTTATCTCAGACTTTGCTGCTCAGGTTCCTCTCCAGACCTCGAAGGGAGAGCTGGCTACATATTTCATCTCTGATTATTGTGTGCTTCATTTGTTGTTTACTTTTTTTTTTTAGTAAAGGTTTTATTTATTTATTTGACAGAGAGAGACACAGCTAGAGAAAGAACACAAGCAGGGGGAGTGGGAGAGGGAGAAGCAGGCTCCCCGCGGAGCAGGGAGCCCGATGCGGGGCTCAATCCCAGGACCCCGGGATCATGACCTGAGCCGAAGGCAGACGCTTAACGACTGAGACACCCAGGCGCCCCTCTTGTTTACTTTTCTTATTATAATTTCTTTCCCATTTACCATATTTCCTCAGAGTGATTGTAGTGCCCTTTAGTTTCAGGTAGACTATGATCCATTTGGTCAGTTTCCAACTGTATTCTTGGCTCACTTTACTTATATGGTAGTAAGAATGCAAACAGATATTCTCCTTATCTATATTTCTCTATGAGGTTTGATGGTAACCTTTACACACTGCCTTGGATTAACTGGCTCTCTTACTATCCCTGATCCATTTCTTTCCTCCAAAGCAAGCATTTTCCCTTCTGCTTAAAACTGCTTTCTGGGTGTGTGTGCGCGCTTGTGTACTGTGTACACATATGTACATATATGTTTATGTACACAAGAACCTGGCAACTGTTCTGATGACCTGAGAAGGCCAGCAAGAGAGGGACCATTGGACAGTGGGTGGTGGGGGAGGAAGTCTCACTTCACTGTATAAACTGTTGGTTTCTCTCATATTTTATACCTTTAATAGTAATAGCAGTAAGATTAAATAAATGATAAATTGACTTAATAAAATATAAATGGAATGTAATCTATAATTTATAGCTATTACTGATAATATATAAATAAGAGATACACTGATTATATCAGTACAGATAAGTTATATAGATTTATGGCTATTAAGAAAAATGTTACCTTGCCTTTTTTCTAAATTTTAGAATTTTTAAAGTAGTCTCTACACCCAGCGTGGGGATTGAACTCACAACCCTGAGATCAAGAGTTGTTTGCTGTACCCACTGAGCCAGCCTGGTGCCCCGCCTTCCATTTATTTTACACTTAACAGTTCATATAACTTTTCTATCTAATCTTTAAGACAGCCTTGTCAGGGGCACTTGGCTGGTTCAGTCTGTAGAGCATGCGACTCTTGATCTCAGGCTTGTGAGTTCAAGCTCTACATTCGGCACAGAGCCTACTTTAAAAATAAAGAAAACAGCCTTGTCAGGTATCTGGTTATTATCTTCATGTTTTATGAGGAATGGCAGAACATGCAAGAAACACAAACTAGGGTTCTGAATAGTTAGGTGACCTGAGTTCTACCGCTAGTGCTTGAATCCAAGTCCAGTGCAGTTTCTGGGTGCTACCAGGTAAGAAGGAAATTGAGAGAAATCTCCAAGTTTTTACATTTGGCCTGGAGTTGGTGACCAGCCTTTGCCATAATAGATTCTTTGCACCCTCATCCGACACAGAATATGGCACTGAACCCGTATACTGCAGATAAAGACTTCAGCCATTCAGCCTACCAGTACAAGGGTAGGCCCTGGGCTCCGCCTCATTTCCCATCTTGAGCAGAGAGATTTAGCTTTGGGCATTGAGAGTGCAAACCAAACAACATAGACTTGTACTGTAGCTCACATGTTTACCTTGTGTCTCTTTTCAATTGTTCTAGGAAGAGTTGCAGGCCAACTTGGACCTGATTCAAACCTACAGGCTGCATATTGCCCAGGATATCAACCAAGAAAACCTGCAGCTCTTCCTGGGTTCTTATAACGGGTACAGTCGTTTCCTATTCCTCCACCTAAATGTAAACTAGGTCCAAAAAGATAAGGGACATTTGAGGGAAGAGGGGCAGGGGAAATAAACTACTTCTTTCAGTGCTGTGTCATGAGATTGCTTTCATGCTGTTCCACCACAGTAAAGGAGGAAGGGCTGTCAGACAGATAGGAAGACAGGTTTCAAGGAAAATGAATGGGGGCACCTGGCTGGCTCAATTGGTAGAGTGTGCAACTTGATTTTGGGGTCATGAATTCAAGTTCCATGTTGGGTGTAGAGATTACTTTAAAAAAAAAAAGAGGAAAAAGAAAAATGAATGCTGTTTGGGGCACATTCAAATACCATTTGTAGTTTTAGGATGTTTTGAGATTTAAAAAGTACCTAAGTTACATAGACACACACAAAAACATCCACGTAATGTGAGGCAGGACAGAAAAATACATGGAGAAGAGGCAAAGAATAGAAGTCTTGGGCCTCGATTCAGTTTCTCTTCACTGACGTCTTGTCATCAGGCAGAAGTAACACATGGACACTAGTAAATTCTCTTTTGCTTGTGTACATTCCAAAACCTACTGTCATGTCTCCCTCAGTCACTGAGAGAGTTGGATTCTTATCTTGGGACCAGTTTTTCCAAGGTTAAACATATTCACTCCTCCTAGCTTTCTGAGTACATGGGAAAAGATTGAGAAAATGGGTCAGCTGTAACTTATCTAAACTCACCCAGAGATTTTGAACCTGGTCTCTCCAACTCCTTTCTCTGTATAACAGAGCCTGTTTATTTTCAGTTGAAATCAGAAAGGTTTATTAAGTACTGCACTAAACTATGTTAATTACAAGTTTTCCCCAAAAAAAGTTCCCCTTCTCTTAAGGAATTTATTCCCATAAACTAGTTGGAAAATTAAACACTACAACTTGAGCATTTCAGTAGCATTGCTGTTGAGTTTTGAAGTTGCTTCTAAACTTCTGCATCCCATTGTACCCCTCAGGGTTGAGCCAGAAACCTTGTTCCTGCTCTGTACCACTCAGGATGCTACTAAAATGGCTACTCATGAATGAAGTGCACAAGGGCCCCTTCCCTCATCAGGTGTGAAGGAAAGATAGTTTCAAATTCCTTGATACATTTTGGTCTTCATAACCAGGAAATCATCTGAGTTGCCATGATTTTACCTGAAAGGGGTATTGATTGTTTCCTTTGTTTTTCTAGACGGAGAGACCTAGAGATTGAAAGACCCTTGCTGGGCCAAAATGATAACAAATCGAAGACATTAAAGTAAGTCCCTCGGTTTCCTTAGTAAGTTACTAAATATCTTTGCCTTTCATAAACTAATGCAGTATTCAGGGGAATGTAGGTGCTGTTTGCAGAATGTCACCTCTTAATTTTGCCTTTCCCCAGGTGTTCTACTCTATTGGTGGTAGGGGACAGTTCACCTGCAGTTGAGGCTGTGGTAAGTATGTCCTGATGTTGTGAAGATAAATGAGATTAAATGCAATAAAATATATACAGCATGGGGCGCCTGGGTGGCTCAGTCGTTGAGCGTCTGCCTTCGGCTCAGGTCATGATCCCAGGGTCCTGGGATCGAGCCCCGCATCGGGCTCCCTGCTCCGCGGGAAGCCTGCTGCTC